AATAACTGAAATCTACTGGAAAACTTAACAGAAAGTAGATTATTTCACTACTGAGCAGTAATTGTTCCAATATAGCAACATCCCATAAACACACCCTTGGCAAAAGACAAATTCAGAAAACGTGCTGTTTTCCAATCTAGGAGAAAGAACATGAAATACAGTTCTGCGAATAAGCTGAGAGAGAGAGTGTAGCATGCGGAAGAGATTTACTGCCTTCTAACCCTGCTGAGACCCCAGCAACAACTGCTGACAGCTAACTAGATAACCTGGATCTGTGAGAGCTTGACCACACCCACTCAGGCTGCTTCGATTGTTCCAACTTTTAAAAGAAAACCCAAGGCCTCACAAGTTGTTTATCTTCTCACAGACTGCTCGGCGCCTGTCTCCCAATCTCTCTCTAAAAGAAACCAGGACAAAACACACCTCTTAAAGCCAAAGTATCACCACAGAGTGCAAATGGGGTTGTTTCCCCTTGTGGGAGAGTCTAAGGCGGGAGGGCATCATGTCAGAGTAAGGATTCACTCATTTAAGACAGAGATGAGAAGGATGTTTTTCCCTCAGAAGATGGTGAATTTGTGGAATTCTTTACCACAGAAGGATATCAAGGCTGAGTCCATTAAATATATTCAGGACTGATGCAGAAAGATCTGTAATAACTGAGGGAATCAAGGATTATGGGGCTAAGGCAAGAAAGTGGAGGTGAGGATTAATAGATCATCCATGATCTCTGTGAACAGCAGTGTTGACTCAATGGGCCAAGTGGCCTAGTTCTGCTCCTACATCTTATGATCTTGTGGTTTATAACACATTCTGCAGAAATGCAGGGCAGTTTTCCCTAATGCTCCAGCTGCTTCAGCCATCACTGCTAAAACAGATTGTCTGGTCTCAAACCTCATGCTGAATCTGGGAGCTTGCTGTGTGCTAATTAGCTGCTGCATTTAATAGATTAGAATACTGGCTATATTTGAAAATTATCCAAAGGCTGTGAAAAATGTTGAGACACATACAAGGTCATGAGAAAGTGCATCTCACCACCAGAAGGAGCGGTGAAGCAAATAATACAGATAGAGTTAAAGGAAACTGGACAGCCATAGGAGGGAGAATGGAATAAAGAGTTACAATAGGATAATGAAAGGTGGGAAGGGGCTAGAGATAAGAATAAGCACTTGCACGGATTGGTTGGCCTCAATGGTCTATTTCTGTTCGTAACGAACAAAGCTAGACTCAAAAAGGAATTTAAAAACCGCCTAGTTCAAGTTTTAGTTTCTTGGGTGTTGCTCAACAAAATTCTTTACAGGTGAGGATTAGCCTCTTGTGTTTTCTTCTTCCAGCATTTGGAGACTATGCTTTTAGCAGTCTGGGCCCAAGGCCTGCAAGTCCCTCCCAAAACTTCACCACCTCTACATCCTCCTTTAAGAATCTCCTTAACTTTTGATCATGTGACCTAATATCACCTTCTGTGACTTGGCGCCATATTATGCGTGAAGATCATATCCGTGAAACACCTTGGGGCTTTTTAATTACATTCAAGTTGCTACGACATGCAAGTTGTTGTTGGTCTTACCCATGCCATAGCCAACGTAAATTGGGTGCAACATGGACCCAGTCTGTCTGGAAAGGATGCAAATTTGAGTACTCTCAGGATAAAGTTCAAATTGCAGCAAGCCTCAGTCATTGATGAAGTTCGACAGGTTACCACAAAGAAATATAAAGCCTGCATTTCTTAATGTCTTCAATTTCATAGAATTACAAGGGAGAACTGCTTGCCCCTCTACAGAATGTTATAAGACTATAAGGTCATGAAGCATAACAGCAGAAGTAGGCTAATTGGCTCATCAACGCCATCAAAGGTGCCAACAGGATAAATCGCTCCATTTGGAGCTCCACTCTCCTCGCCAGTTTCCTTTCCTGTCTTTTTTATTCTTCTCTCTCCTCTCTGTTGTAATTCTATCGCCCCCAACCCCCACCCTTTTAACTAATTACCAAAGGAGTTGAGAAGAAGTCGGGTTACGACTGGGAACCACGTGACAGAAGCTGAACGTGTGGGCCATGTCCTGCAGCGACGGCGGATCGAATGTGGGCTGGAGAGACGTCAGCGGTGAGAGCAGGATGGAGAGGCAGCGATGGTGACAGCGGGGCTGGTGAGGCAGCGACGGTGAGAGCGGGGCCGGTGAGGCAGTGACGGTCAGAGCGGGTCCAGTGAGGCAGTGATGGTGAGAGCAGGGCCAGTGAGGCCGTGATGGTGAGAGCGGGGCTGGTGAGGTAGTGATGGTGAGAGAGGGGCCGTTGAGGCAATGACGGTGAGAGCAGGGCCGGTGAGGCAGTGACGGTCAGAGTGGGTCCAGTGAGGCAGTGATGGTGAGAGCAGGGCCAGTGAGGCAGTGACGGTGAGAGTGGGACCGGTGAGGCAGTGACGGTCAGAGCGGGTCCAGTGAGGCAGTGACGGTGAGAGTGGGGCCAGTGAGGCAGTGACGGTGAGAGCAGGGCCAGTGAGGCAGTGACGGTGAGAGTGGGGCTGGTGAGGTAGTGACGGTGAGATAGGGGCCGGTGAGGCAGCGACGGTGAGAGTGGGGCCGGTGAGGCAGTGACGGTCAGAGCGGGGCTGGTGAGGCAGTGATGGTGAGAGTAGGGCCAGTGAGGCAGTGACGGTGAGAGCGGGGCGGTGAGGCAGTGACGGTGAGAGCGGGGCGGTGAGGCAATGACAGTGAGAGCCAGGCCGGTGAGGCAGTGACGGTCAGAGCGGGCCAGTGAGGCGATGGTGAGAGCAGGCCAGTGAGGCAGCGACGGTGAGAGCGGGCCAGTGAGGCAGCGACGGTGAGAGCGGGGCTGGTGAGGCAGCGACGGTGAGAGCGGGGCTGGTGAGGCAGTGACGGTGAGAGTGGGGCCGGTGAGGCAGCGACGGTGAGGGAGGGCCAGTGAGGCTGTGATGGTGAGAGCGGGGCCGGTGAGGCAGTGACAGTGAGAGCAGGGCCGGTGAGGCAATGACGGTGAGAGCGGGGCTGGTGAGGCAGTGACGGTCAGAGCGGGTCCAGTGAGGCAGTGATGGTGAGAGCAGGGCCAGTGAGGCAGTGACGGTGAGAGTGGGACCGGTGATGCAGTGACGGTCAGAGCGGGTCCAGTGAGGCAGTGACGGTGAGAGCAGGGCCAGTGAGGCAGTGACGGTGAGAGTGGGGCCAGTGAGGCAGTGACAGTGAGAGCAGGGCCAGTGAGGCAGTGACGGTGAGAGTGGGGCTGGTGAGGTAGTGACGGTGAGAGAGGGGCCCGTGAGGCAGCGACGGTGAGAGTGGGGCCGGTGAGGCAGTGACGGTCAGAGCGGGGCTGGTGAGGCAGTGACGGTGAGAGTGGGGCCGGTGAGGCAGCGACGGTGAGAGAGGGCCAGTGAGGCAGTGACGGTGAGAGCGGGGCTGGTGAGGCAGTGATGGTGAGAGCGGGGCTGGTGAGGCAATGACGGTGAGAGCCGGGCCGGTGAGGCAGTGACGGTCAGAGCGGGTCCAGTGAGGCAGTGACGGTGAGAGCAGGGCCAGTGAGGCAGTGATGGTGAGAGTGGGGCTGGTGAGGCAGTGACGGTGAGAGCGGGGCTGGTGAGGCAGCGGTGGTGAGAGCAGGATGGTGAGGCAGTGACGGTGAGAGCAGAACGGTGAGGCAGCAGTGGTGAGAGCGGGGACGGTGAGGCAGTGACGGTGAGAGTGGGCCAGAGAGGCAGCGGCGACGAGTTGGGACTTAGGACTCTGAGATCTGGACCTCTTTTTTCTTGCTTACCTTTTGGCTCTGTCAAATCTTTTAATTCTGGCTTTTGTAACCAAGTGGGCACCAGTGAATGGCAACTTTGTGCACTTTTTGCTGTACTTATGTCTTCCTATACTTAGTACATGTGACAAATAAATAAAGCCACATCTAAATTCTATCATTCAAAGACATGGCTGGTCTGACAATCTTCATTTCCACTTTCCTGCCTTTTCCCCATAACCCTCAATTCCTTGAATGATTAAGGTCAGTGGCTGTGGGAAAGGGAAAGAAAAAATGTTTTGAATATCAAACTTAGATTTTAAAAAAGCTTTAATCTGGCCTGTAATTCATTTCCAGCCTATCAGGAGAGATATAATACATATTATTTAATTCATTTTTTGAGTCCGGCTTTGCTGATTTCTAAAGACGCTGTTTTGTTTTCTCTGAATGGACAAAGCATACAGATGAATTCCATATGAACATCCATACTCTGTATACAATGACCAGACCCATTGTCAGCCCTGGTAGTACGTCTGGAGATGGAGAAATATTAAAAACATGGTACTGGAGTACACAATGAAAGATTCACTCCTGGATTGTGACTGATTCCTTAGGGGCATGAGTGAATCAGTGAAGTTGTTAATTGCTTTTTCCTCTCATTGTTGCCTTTTCCTTCCACTGTCTCTCCCTCCGGCCTCTCTCCCTCCCCTGCCTCGCACTCTCTTCACCACTCTCCCCCTCCTGCCTCTATTCCTCCCTTGCTATTCCCACTCCCCTGTCACTAGCCTTTTCTTGCCTCTAACCCGCATTCCCACTCTCTGTCCTCTGCCCTCCAACTCCCCTGTCACTCTCCCTCACCTGCCTGCCTATCTCCTTCCCCTGCCTCTATTCAACTTTTGCTACACTCCCTCTCCTGTCTCTCCCCTTCCCCTGTCACTCTCCC